TGATAAATGCTTTCAGAGCAAACCACTGGGATTTGACCGTGTTTCCAACCTAAATATATCAGTCACTTTTTATGATACATAAAACAGGAAAGACTAAATGATCTGATATGCTGCAAAACACTGAAGTGGTGTAAACAGCTGATGTGCTCACACACACACCAGATGACTTGGTAATTCTCTCCAGAATCTTACACCTCTAGAAAAAAACTGATTGTCATGGGTTACTGTTAATTTTCATTCAGAGACACCTGTATGGCGCCATGTTTGGGATTCTTTATGAAAACAGTTTTGATATGTCTTAGTTGATGGATGGCAGTACTCACACAGAGCCAAGAACTCTTCTACTTCTTGCACTGCCCTGCCAGTGAGGAGCTAGGGGTACACAAGCAACAGGGAAGGGACACAGCCAGGATAACCGACTCCAAATGGCCAAGGGAATGTCCCATACCATACGGCCTTCCAGGCTCCAAGCGTTCACTGCTGGCTTTTTGTCCATCAGTACCACTGCAATCCTCCTCCACAGAGCTGAACAATAAATGAGTGTATTTCATACACTTTCATGCTCAAGTTAGACATTCTCCTTTATATAACTAATGAAAATGGTTTTTACGTATCTGGTTGATTTCCCACTGAAGCTTATTAAATAACGTTCATATTTTCTACTCTCCTGACTGAGCAGAGGGGCAACAAACCCCCTGGCGACTGGTGGTGATAAGCAGCCAGAGTACATTGCATTTTCAACTGCTCCACATAGAGCCATTAAAGAACATCTGCCTATGCTGCTTCTTGTAGAAAAGGAATACACTTTCTCCCACTTGACATTTCTTTCCCCTGCAGGTGAAAAAAAAAGAGTTCTTATTGTAATTTACCAGCAATTAACTTTTCCCTGCATTGGCACTCTGTTCCTCCATTTAGGCCCATAGCATTCAGCACACACAGAATTCTTGCCAGACCACTTGACTGGTTTTAAATAACAATCTGCTTAACCAGAAATACTGACATTTAAAACATATTTCTTGCATCAAGGCTCCCAACTTCCCAATACAGTCGGTCACATGAATCCCTAGGGAAAGTGAGCAACTATCTCTTCTCATTAAAAATACTCCACCAGTGTTGCCCAGGAAATTGTTTATAAAATGAAAATGACAGAGTAGCTCTGCTAACCAGGTAAGATCACCATCCCTACTTCTTTATGCTAGGGTTAGTGCCAGAAGCACAGTTCAGAACATTAAGTTTATTTGAGCTCTTCTGGCAGAGGTTTGAAAAGAAGCCTGAATAACATGGATATCTGTTATCTGTTCATTATCCAGTTCTTGTGGCCCTGCCCACACTGCCTTTTCAGTGAAAGCTGATCTCTCCTCAGCACTCTTCTCCATGAATTCATTTGCATTTCTCATCCCATTTCAAGCAATTGGGACTGTCCTGAATCTGTAAGCCTATGAAAGTCCTGGAACAGACAGTGGATGTTAGAAGAACTTGTGACAGCAGGGAACCCAATGCTTATGAAGTCACCACATATTTTAAACACTATTACTGCTAAACATACCAGAAATACAAAAAATTGGCATGCACAGAGGAGCATACCAAGGGTGCAGTGTCTGATGGAGGAGACTAAACTTAATTACTGGCATAAAGTTGTGCATTCTGCTACAACCATGAAAATGCACCACCTTCAAGTAATTCAAACGCACGTGTTGCAGAAGGTATCCACCAAATAAGTGTGTGATCTGTGTATAAGAATGACAACTACAGATGCACGTTCCCATCTGGAAGCAAAACATTCCTTGTCTGAACTCTTTTAGTTCCTAAATCTCATGAGCTTTTTTCTTGAAACTCAAAGCACAGCTCACTGGGACACAGCTGCAATGCAACCCGGTTTTCATGTCAAAATCTAGAAGACATGGCCTCTTGTCATTCAAACTCACTAATCTTACCAGGTCTTTTAAATTTTTTACTTGCATCCATGAGAATAATAATTAAAAAAAAAAAAATCAGGTTTAATTCTTAATTTCTTCTTTTATATATATATATATATATATATATATATATATAGTATATTTGTTTTGGTGTTATTCCTTTAACATTGTGAGCTGATGTTTTAAAAGAAGAAACTCAACTGTACAATGAACTATAAATTATAGTAATGAGTACATGTCAGCAACTACTGCTATCACCATCTGAGACCTGCACATTTCATTTCAGACTCCCAAGCCCTAAGTTCCTGTACCAGGAGAGCCCTGTGCTGGCTTGGCAGAACAGAGTAAATGCAATGCAGTCAAAGTTGAACACCTGGGACATGCAACAGAATAAGTGTGCTTAGTGAAATAAAATTGGAAAAAGTCAAGCATCTAAAAACACTGCTAAATGGCCCCTAATGGGCTACAAAAAACAGTGGTTTGCTGTCTGAAGTAAAATTTGTGTTTGTATTTTTTTCTGCAGTACAGAAAAAACAGAACATGAGTGAAAGTATAAAAACTACACTTTTAAACAGTATAAAAACTTACTCTCCCTAACTTCTCCAAAAGCAGAAATAGCAAGGCAGTACAATGAGAGCTGCTTTCAAGATCTGTGTTTGGATTACTTACAGAGGGCCCCAGCACCAACACAGGTCTTAAAACATGATCAGCACTTCATGCAGGGATAGAAACTATCATCTCAATCAGTTCAGTTCTGCTAGTGATGACTGCACACTACTCCTCTGCCCCTGAGTAGGAGGCAGCCACTGCTGTTTGTACAACACAGAAATGGAACACAAGGCTGTCTCTGTATCATACACCTGATTAAAACATCGTGTACTTATTTCTCCTCTTGGCACAATGCACAGTGGATGAGTAATCAGATTTTATTTCCCCATCAATGAAATCCTGTCATAATTGGAACAGAAAGTCGTAGCTGTGTATCAAAAGACAGCAGTATTTCATGCTACGTTAGAAACAGGAGAGTACTACAAACAAACCAAAATCAAAGGAGAATTCATGACGATGATACATCCTGACTGTAATATCGACAATAAATGAGAGTAATTCAAAAGGGAGCTCTCAAAGTTCCTTGGCCAAAAATGAGTATACCAAATGTGCCACAAAGCAATTTTTCAGCTAATGCAGTCTCAGATCCTTCTTCTTACACTATTACTACATGAACAGTAAACATCTAACTCAGAATATAGAAGGAAAAGCATATTATTAGAATTCCAGCTGTGTGCTAAGTTCTCTGTAAGCATGGCACTGGAGCAGAGAAAATTGGTACTTAAAAGCTATACTCCAAAACAGAATAGCTTGTTTTTCAGAGGAACTTCCTGAGCTTCAAGTATAAGGCATCTTTGTTTCAAATGACTTAGAAGTACTCAGATGGGGAGTTCAATTAAAAGAATAAATTGCCTCATTTACTTTTTAACAGTAAAAATTCAGCAGGAACATACAATTTGATGAAGGCTTTCCTAACATTATGCCAGGATGCTGTGCACTGAGGTGAATTTTTTGTCTTTTTGCTGCTAAAACAGCTTTCTAGTTTTTTTTTTTTTTCCCCCAAGCCAAAGACTATAAAGTAACATAGCAGGTTTTAGAAAGGAATAATGTATTTTATTCCCCTCAAAAATACAGTTGAGCTTGCAGAAACTTCAAAAAGAATTGTTATATAAAAAGGAAGGCATAGAACTCTCTATGGAAAATGAGTGCAGCTTTGGAAAGTTGAACAAGGGTTTCATTTTTCAGATCTCATCGTTATGTTCTCAGTCTGCTGCTGAGAAATGCAACACTGAGTAAGAGGAAGCTGGTGACCGGTCAGCTCTTCTACTGTGAAGTACCATCACAGAATCACCAAGATTGGAAAAGATCTACAAGATCATCCAGTCCAACTGTGCACCCATCACCAGTAGTTCTCACTAAACCACGTCCCTCAACACAATGTCTAAATGTTCCCTGGACACCTCCAGGGTTGGTGACTCCACCACCACTGAGTAGCCCACCACCAGCTACCATTTAATGGAAACACAGGCATTGCTTATCAGTTGAAAAAAGGGATAATGTGATAATTTTTTTTTTCTTTTTGAGTGATAGTTACATATTTTACCTAATGTGCAACTGAGTTCTGGACTGAAAACAAAGAAACTGAAGAAAACTTAATCCAATTTACAGTCGCCTTTCACACACACTTGACTGTAGTTGAAAAATCAGTAACCGTTAATGAACAGAAAGTTCTTCTCTGTGAGAGTACTGAAGGAACGCTCACTTATTTGGAAAAACAGCTTGCCATCACTGCAGAATCAAAGTGTACTTTAAAGTGTAATGTACATTCATGGGCAAAAAGTAGAGATAAAATTAAAACATACAATCAAAGCACCACTAAGTAAGCATTGGCATATTACAGTAGACTGAAAATAATACAACTAAGCATACGTGTAAGTACAGGTAGCTCCTGTGTATGTATTCATACACAATATATGTTATCACATATAGTTATTGTTAGGAGAGAACAACGACATTATAACTAGCTAGCATTTCTGACTCCAACAATTCAATGATTTCCTATCGTTTGACCTGCATTTGCAGTCAGCGTTCTTTCATTGCAAAAACGTCTTAATCAATTGCAGTGAGGTTAAAGAGCACGTAAAGCTGGGTTTTTCTGACCGACAACAGTGTAACACAAAAATAGCTTAAAAGGTTAAGGGCCACCTGCCATAGATTTCCTCTCGTTTCTTAACGTAGGGTGGGAAGCATTCAAAATATTTCGTAGCTTAACCTGGTATCGACTAGAAGTGGCAGTGCCGCACGGCACGGCAGTTAGGCAGTGAGTTCTCCTCCCTCCCGTCCCAAGCTCATCACAGCGGCTAGGTGTGAGCTGCGCACCGCCAGCCGCACAGCAGCAGCGGCCAGGGGCGAACCGCTCGGAAACGTCAGAGCGCAGCGGCACGGCGGGGCGGCGGCTCCCAGCCCCTCCCGGAGCCCCGGCTGCCGGCTGAGCCCCAGCGCGGGGCAGCCTCACCTCCCCGGGAAGCGACTTACCTTGGTGAGCTGGGCGATCTTCTTGCACATTTGCATGTGAATTTCCTTATTGTATCCTTCTGCCGAAATGCCGCGAGGGGCTTCAGATCCATTGCAAGTCCCGGATTGCCGGCTCTTGTTTATGCCGGAGGCCATTAAGCTTTAAATATTCTAACCGAGTCTGTCCTTATACGCTCCGGGCTGCGCTTTCCCGTCCTGCTGCTCGCCTCCCTCTGCGCTCACTCCAAGCCCGAAGCGCTGCAGGAAGTTCAGCCTCAGCCCCGGGCTGGAGCAGCTGCTTCTCCCATGCGCGCAGATGTCCCGCTCCTTCAGCACAGCACTCGGCCGAGGCAGCGAGCAGCACGTGCGAGCCTCACGAGCGGGAGTTCTTCTCCACTTCCAAGGGTGCTTCCGCCAGGAGGAGATGCCAGCGGCTGGATGCTACGCTTTCCCCACAGGACACGCCGAGCAGCGGCACAGACGTCGGTGGGGATCCAATAGAGAGACTGCCTGCAGATTAAATCGCGTTGCCTTTTTGGGCTGCTGCAGGGATCATCTGAGAGGATGATTCGGGCACCTTTCATCAGCTCTGTTAGTTGGCAACCCTTTGCAAGTCCAGGTGGACCAATAAAGTGGCAAAGAAAATCTTGATCAATTTTTGCTGCTCTGCTGAAAGCAGAATGAAGCGGTGCTTCCACCTCCGCCCCGCAGCTGAGCCCTGGTGGGCCTGCCAGCTCCCCTGGGCTGCCAGCTCCCCTCGGCTGCCCTGTGCTCACATAGGAAAGGCAGGAAGAAAACTGACACTGCTCACTTGTCTTCATCTGCAGCCATTCCCTCTCTTCAAAAGGCCAAGCATTCCACACTTAAAAATAAGAGAGCCCACAGAGCAAGGTAAGGGGCCCGCAGCCACTCGAGGGAAGAGAGGCTACTCCTGCCCCCAGACTCACCTCCTGGCAGTGCCTTCCTTCCTCTTGGGCTAGAAGCTTGTGCTGCGCTTGAAAAAGAGCTTCAGAGCTTCCTCAGGGCACTCAGGATTGGAAAAGAGGATTATCCGAAGTCAGCTAAGAGCACTGGGAAAAGAATCTGTGAAAAAGAGAAATCCTCAATGAGGGCAAAAAGAGATAAGGCACTGCCAAGAATAAGCACTCATAAGAGGAAACAGATTGGGCAGAAGAATGCCTGAAGGCAGCAGGGCAGAGAGGGAGGAGTGAGAAGATATAGGAAGAGAGGACTTCGGACACAGAAACCAGAAACCAAACCCTTTAATTGCTGGGAGAAAAAAGGGGGACCTTAAATGAAGGCTGACTGAGAAAATCATAGGAGATAAGGGCCAAGGAGAATGGAGATTATCACAGCTATTGGGAGATACTAAACTGGGAGGAGAATTTAGCCCAGACAGAACATTCATAAGGCAAGAAACATATAATCTTTGCACACAGTAATGACATTCATCAGTGACTAACATGCTGCTGCCTGAGAACAGAACTTGTTCTATGCTTATGGCATAAGGACACTCCATCGTCAATTGTCTGCTATTTCATATGATGTGTACTCACGCTGAAGTTTAATTCAATTAAACCTTCTCCACAAACTTTCTCATCAATTTGAAGGAAGAAAAAGGTAGAAATATGCACAAATTTGATAAAATTGACAAACTTATTAATTAGTTCTCTGGATTTTCCAATAACAGCATCTAGAACACTATTAAATAGAACACTATTTAAGAAGAATGCATTGTGTTTTAAAAGTACTTACAATAACTTACCTGTGGTATTGCTCTAACACAGAAATAGCAACCTCTGTTTTTGTTTGTTTTGATTTGTTCTTTTTCATTCTCTCTTTTTTTTTCCTGATAAACAGCAGAATTTATGGCTGGACCTGAATGCATGCCTGGATGGAGACTTGAGACAAAGCAAGGATGCCATAATGTGTCATTCAAGTGTGTGCTATATAAAAGTGGAACTTATGTGAACCCTGCAGAACACATAAGTGAACGTGAAAATTTTTGTTGAACTTAGAGCTGTATATGGCACAGATACAGTTTAGAATAAAAACTAGAGCAGTTTAAACAGAAAACATACTTCTGCTTGAATTATTATTGTAGAACTAGTTTTACATTCATTATGAGAGAGAAGATAGTCATCACACTAGCATCTCTAAGCCTGTGAGCAACTGTATATGCAACTGTTTACGAGGGTGGATAGTGATAGGACAAGGGGGAATGGTCTTAAACTGAGACAGGGGAAGTTTAGGTTAGATATTAGGAGGAAGTTTTTCCACACAGAAGGTGGTGATGCACTGGAACAGGTTGCCCAAGGAGGTTGTGGATGCCCCATCTCTGGAGGCATTCAAGGCCAGGCTGGATGTGGCTCTGGGCAGCCTGGTCTGGTGGTTGGTGACCCTGCACATAGCAGGGGGGTTGAAACTGGATGATCATTGTGGTCCTTTTCAACCCAGACCATCCTATGAAACCTTGGTTTACAGCTTTGCTGTTCAAGTGCATGGACTGATTTACTTTTAGGAGTAAACAACTGTTTGTCTTCCACTTTTGGTACCTGCTGCTTGTTCTAAAGCAGACTGTACAGATTTTGAAATCTATATCCTCCTCTGTAGTTCTGTTCACGCAGCCAACTGTGGTTTGCATACTGTACAGACTTTTGTTCCACAAGCTTCGGTCTTCTCAATGTTAGAGTTTAGCAAAATACATTACATAGACTATCATTACATGAGAGGATGTTCTTTCCCATACTTTGATGGAAGACTGGGCTATTCTACATTAAAAAAAAACCAAAAACATTCTGCTCATTGCACTCTCCCAAAATTTGTTAGGTCTTTTTTTTTTTTTCTTCATAATGTAATACTGAGGTAGTATTTACCATCCTCATTCCGTATGGAAGTCAGTAGGACTTCTGATGAGCTCTGACTTAAAATCACATTCCTTGTTGTTTTAAAAAGCATGTGTAGGAAAACAAGCAAACAAACCAAACAAATGTTCTCCTTCTATTATATTTTTATATCTTTCTTCTTCTGCCTGAAGAAAAAAAAAAAAAAACAACAAAAACCGAAACGATAAAAAATTTAGAACAAAACCTGAATGCAATGTAAGTAACTTTTGAGTTCTCATCCTTTCACTGTGCTACCAAAGCAATTTGACATTGCTCAGTTAAGAACTGCACCTTGTCCTGTCACGTATTTAGATTATAACAGTGACTCAGATGTCAGAAACATTCTCTGATAGTTGATCAGTCAATGTCAGTGAATAAGGAAAAAGCCCTAATTTGACATCATTGGGCTCTCATCCTGATTTCAGCCATCCAGATACCTGCTGGGAAAAAAATGTGGTGAGCTGCAGGAGACCAGGAGACTCCAGGAACCTATAGATGCTAACTTTGTGGTTCAGGACAGACTGATTGGAGGTGGAGTGCTGCTGGTGCTCACCAGTGAAGGAGGTCATTATAGACATTTAGATTAGGCAGCCTGTGCTGCAGCAACCATGCCCTGGGTGAGTTTGTGATCTAGAGTAATGTGGGCCTGGCAAAGAGTGGAATTAGGACCCTGAACTTCAGGAAAGGCTGTTTAAGGAATTGTTGGACAAGATCTTAGAAGCTGTCCTGAGAGACAAAGGAGTGGAACAAAGCTGGCTACTCTTCAAGGATGCCTTTCTGAGAAAGCAAGAGCTCTCCATCCCTCAGAATAAGAAAGCATGCAGAGGAAGCACGAAATAGGCATGGCTTGGAAAGGATCTGCTGGTCAAACTGAGGGAAAAGGGCATGCACAGGCAGTGGAAACAAGGACCTGGGAAGAATACAGGGATTCTGTCCAGACACGCAGAGATGGGATTAGGAAATCCAAGGCACGGATGGAACTGAACTTGGTGAGGGATGTTAAAAACCACAACAAGTGGTTCTATAGGTGCACTGATAAGAAGAGAGAGGGCAAAGAGAGCATACGTCCTTTGAAAAAGGAGAAAGGAGAACTGTCTACAACAGATATGGAGAATGGTGAGATACTCAGTGAATTCTTTACTTCTGTCTTCACTGGCAGCCAGGATTCTCCTATTTCTCACAGCCCTGAACTCTTGGTGGGAATGGAGGGAGCAAACCTGCCCCCACTATAAGGGCAGAGCAGGTCCAAGATCACCTCATGAGACTGAATGGTGCACCCCAGGGTCCTAAGAGACGTGGCTGATGTGGCTGCCAAGCCATTCTATCACATCTGAGACATGGCTGTCAGGCAAAGACCCCAATGATTGGAAAAAGGGAATCAACACTCGCATTTATAAGAAAGGGATAAAGGAAGACCTGGGGAACTACAGGCCAGCGAGCTTCCCCTCTATGCCTGGGATGACTATGGTACAGATCCTCCTGGATGACATGTTCAGACCATGAGGGTCAAGCAGATGGTCTGAAACAGCCAGCACAGCTTAACCAGGGGAAGGTTGTGCCTGATCAATCTAGTGGCCTTCTATGATGGAGTAATAGCACCGGTGGACAAAGAGAAGGAAACTGATTTTATCTGCCTGGACTTCTGCGAGGCCTTTTACATGGTCCCCCACCACATCCTGATGTCTAAGTTGGAAAGATGTGGATTTGAAAGGTGGACCATTTGCTGGATACAAAATTGGTTGGAAACTTGCAGCCAGAGGGTTATAGTCAATGGCTCACGTCCAAGTAGAGGCTGGTGACAAGCAGCGTCCCCAGGGGTCTGTCTTGGGATTGATACTCTTTAACAACTGACTTAAATGATGGGACCAAGTGCAGCCTCAGTGATATTGCTGATGACATCAAGCTGAGCAGTTGATATAGCAGAAAGAAGGAATGTCACCTGGAGGGGCTTTGACAAACTTGAAAGGTGGGCCCATGTGAACATAATTAAGCGCAACAAAGCAAAGTGCAAGGTTTTATATTTTGGTCAGGACTATCCCAGATATGTATGGGAGAGCTCCTCGAGAGCAGCCCTGCTGAGAAGGACTTAGGGACACTGATAGATGAAAAACTTAACGTGAGCCAGCACTGTATGCTAGCAGCCCAGGAGGCCAATGCTATCCTGGGCTGCATAAGAAGATAGGATGTCACAGGACAAGGGAGGTGACTGTCCTTCTCTACTCGGCCCTTGTGAGGCCCAATCTGGAGCACTGTGTCCAGATGTAGGGACAACAACACAGGAAGGATGCTGAGCTTTTGGAGAGGGTCCAGAGAAGGGCCATGAAGAAAATCGGAGGGCTGGAGCACCTCTGCTATGAAGATAGGCTGAATGAACAGGGCTCATTCAGTCTGGAGAAGAGAGACTGCAGGAAGGCATCATTACAGCCTTCCAATATTTAAAGGGAAATCAACTTTTTACACTGGCAGATAGTGATAGGACAAGGGGGGAATGGTTTTAAACTAAAGGAGGGAAGAATTATATTAGATGTTGAGGAAAGTTTTGACCAAGAGTGTGGTGAAGTTCTGGAACAGGCTGTCCAGAAAGGTTGTAGATGCCTCACCCCTGGAGGTGTTCAAGGCCGGGTTGAATGGGGCCCTGGGCAATGTGATCTTCTACTTGATCTACAGGTTGGCAATCCTGTCTGTGGCAGGGGGGTTAGAACTTGATGATCCTCAAGGTCCCTTCCAACACAAGCCATTCTCTGATTCTCTGGTCAGAGTTAGCAAATGGGAGAAGGTGCAATTCTGCATATTTTTATAAAATCCTTCCCACCAAGCATATTAGCTTTTTGCTCACATAGCTGAATCACATGTCAGGAAGGCTTTTGTAACACATCTTTCTAATTCTTAACACCTTGTGTGATATAAACATCAGTATAATTAAAATAAGGTAATAAAACTCATCCACTTTACCTCACTATCTCAATTGAAACCAAAGTCAATCAGTTCATCATTATTTACTGCCTACACAAATCTATGTGTCATATGCAAAATAAGATCCACAAATCCCAAATTCTAAGACACGAAGAAGATAGCTCTGCTGCACATGTTTAATGCATAAGCTCGGTCCTTTGTTTAGTGTATTACAGTAGCTTTCACAAACCACCGTTAATACAGAGCCCTACTCTGCCACTATGCAAGTTTCACTGAAGTCAGCAGGATTTTTTATGTGATGGTAAAATTAAACTGATACCTCAGGTTAGACTGTATTTCTGTTTTCCAGCTCAATAAAATTTTCATTTGAAAATGGTACAGCAATACAAGTAGTCATTAACTGTCATGATACATTTCAAATGACAGTATCAGTAAAACAGACTTACAACTTCTCAAGTCAGTGTCTCAGCAGAGGAAGATGCATCCCTAAGCGAGATTCCAATTTAATGCATAACTCACTATCCTCATTATTAGTCTCTATTTAAATTCATCTTGATCCTTAACAAAAAATTCGGGGATGTTTTTTTCCTTTTATCAAGGAAAACCAAACCAAACAAAACACTGTAAAGAGAGGTAAAAGTGTCCAGAAGACCCATAATAACAGCTGTCCTTCCCCATTTAGTTCACTATCCTATTTCCTATAAAGCTTGTCTAGAGGTTGAATGACAGAAAAAAGACAAGTAGTTCAGCCACCAGTAATTTCAATGGTGGGATTATATAACTACTTTACAATTTTTCTTTCCTCCCCCCTCATAAAGCAAACAGCATTTGAGAGCCCCATTCAAAATACACCAGAAGTGGTGCTGATTTCCTCACTGACTAAAAATAGGAACTATTTGAAAATGTGTATACAGTTTTATAGCTGACAAACACAAGCTATGGAAGAACAGAATCTCTAATTACTACTGCATAATGATGGCTCTATTATGGATGAAATATTACTGTGTGTATTTTTTAATATGGAAATTGAAACAGGAATCAACCAGATGCATCAGTTATACAAGCCCTGGCACACAGAGGAAATAGGATAGCATCAACTTTCCTTTTTTATGCTGCTCTTTACCCAGTGACCTACAACTGAAATTACTACAGAGTGAATGGCACGCAGCAAGTCTGACTTACCCTGTGTCATTCTGTATTTGTTCACACATCACCAACAAAGGAAGATAAAGGATCTAAAACAGTGACACCAGAGGAGGGAGAGACAACCAGAAAGAGATAGCATAACAGATGAGGTGACTACGTAGAGGGACAAGGAGAAAATCTTCATCACTCTTCCCTCCAAAGTCTGGTGCAGCATCTGATGTTCTGATTTTCATCTTTCCTCTTCACTACCTCTTGGCCTGCCCTGCCTACCTCACTCAGGCTCTGCAGGACTGTGGTTCTGCAGAGCCTGAGCTCGAGCTGCTGTGGTTGTTACTTCAATGCCTGTTTTGTCCCCCCACTCAGCTCCTCCTCCCTCAGGAAGCAGCTGGCTCTCGCTGAGGTCTGACATTTAGCTCAGATGGGAGTGAATCCCAAAGGGTGAGCTGAAGTGAGGAACATGGGCCTGTGGGTAGGACATGGCTGGAGGCCCTGGGGAGGCTAATCAGGGCCACATTAGTGCACCTGGGGCTCTAAACCATAACTTGCAAAAATTCTGAAACCAAATCTCTCCATAAGTTAAACAAGGAAGCTAGTATCACAAGGACACATTTACGCTTATGGGAATCTGGATGCCTGTGGCATATTTACCCTGAAAGACGCTATGTCTAACCAGACTAGGCTTCAATTTGTCACAACAGAAGCCTGACTTCCATTTCAATCCTGAAATAAAAAGCCTTGAAGAAATATTTAAAGCAGACTGAAGAAATAAATCTCACGTCTTGGATGAAATCGATCATAAGGAACAACAAGGTATTCACAAGGGAAAATCTCTATTTGTCCATCTGAGATTCTGAGATGCAGGCAGACATCATGAATCTAAAGTAATTCAGTTTGCATTCTTTGTTTAATTTAAAATAAAAATCCTGGGTTTTAAAGCCACCAGAATCACACAATTTTACCTGCTCTTTTCTTCCTATTTCAATCTTGTTCTCCATAACTAGACTTCTGTATTGGAAAAAAAGCTGGATAAATTCAATTTTCTGGTACAAATATCTTAAATGGAAAGATGATTACATTGATATTGTCCTAAAAAAATGAACTTGTAATCAAAACAAACACGTGCAATCCAAAAAGGAACAAAAAACCCTCAGTGAGGATTTGCTGTTGATTATCATATTTTTATAGTGTAACTGTTTCTCTGACATTAAAAAAAAAAAAGGAAAAAGTTTTCTTTAATGTATAGGATTCTATGTTATCATTATTATACTTGAACATATAAAAACTTATTTCCTTCTCCCTAGGAGCAGAAGAGGATTATCAAGAACGGTAGAAGTGACAAGTTAATACAAACTACAAATTACTTATCTAGTAAAGAAGATATCTACATTAACATATAGCAGTACATTTATACGTGCCACATGTATAAATCATTTAAAAATTATTTTTATCTATTTTTTTCCCTGTGCTGTCCTCCATTCTCCACACATACTCATATAATCCTTGACACATTTGTAAAGGCAAAATCATTCCATTATTTCGTTGATAAAAATCTACTATTTAAAGAAACATTTTGACAATCCATATATGAAACAACACTGACCCCTAGTGCTTACCTGTTTTATTCGTTGGATTTTTTTCTTCTCAAACAAAAAGCAACTTTTCTTTAGAATGGGTTCTGCATATTTCATGCATTTTTATTCATGATGGTATATCATCCATCCCTACTAAATAACTTCTGTCACTAGAGGTTAATCAGACATGTTTCTCAAGCCCAAATGCAAATAGACCCTAAGCTCCTACTGTCCACAGTTCAATACTGTGGTTCACATTTTTAAATGCTTTCTGTTTAAAATTAATAAGCACTGAGAACGTTTCCTCTCAACTGATCATCCACTATTTCGCTGCTTGTAAACTATCATCTCCTGCCTGATAGCATGTGCTGTGAACAGCAAGTCTGGAGTTTCAGCTTAGCTAACTCTCTGCTTCTTAACAAGACACAAAATTTATTCTCCCGTTAAATAACTTCTATGAAAATATTATGTTTCATAACAAATAGCTTGACAATTTAGTGGAGAAAAAGAAAAAGTCTTTTACTCACATTAGTAAAAGATGCAATCTGGAGAGCAGAAATATTCTTTGCAACAAGGCAGGTAAGACCTTTTTTGCCCCATTACAGCTGAAACAAATTAGAAAGATGTTTCAGTAAGAAATGTAGAATCATTTAGGTTGGAAAAAAACACTAAGATCACCTAGTCCAACCATCAGTCCATCCTCACCGTGCCCACCTTGGCCCCCTCAGTGCCACATCTCCACATTCCTTGAAGAAATCTGAGGACACTGACTTCCCACTCCCCTGGGCAGCCTGTTCCCATGCCTCACTGCTCTTTTTGAGAAGAAAATTTTCCTACTATCCAACCAGAACCTTCCTTGGCAAAGCATAAGGCCATTACTTCTCACCCAATTACCTAGGAGAAGAGGCAGACGCCCACCTCACCACAAGGTCTTTGCAGAGAGTTGTAGGAAGCAATGAGGTCTCCTAAGAGTCCTCCAGACTAAAGGAGAAACTGAGTAAGACACAAAATTTATTCTCATGTTTAATTAAAGGATTTCTTTGAAAAAACGATGCTTACAACAAATGCTTAAAAATTTGGGGGGAAACTCACACCAGTAAAAGATGCAATCTAGGAGGCAGTTGTACCCTTTCCACTGAGGCAGTTACAGCCCTTTTATGCCCCCTCAGAGCTGACAGAAGACAGAACGGTGTTTCAGTAGCCTGCAAATTCTTTTAAGCTTTGACAATCCACCCAGACAACTACGCAGACACCAGCTGTACCAAGTGAACTTGATTCCCCTTGTTACTCTTTACAAAAGGTGAAAATAAACTTTAAATATGGTAAAAAACACGTTGCTCCAGATAGATGAGCGTTTTTAGTTTGTCTCACTTAATGATCACTCCCCAAAGGATTTTCATTACGTCTGGACACAAGCCGGCCTGCCTTGCTTTGCCACCCCGCTTGCTCGGCCTGAGGCTCCCGCTGCAAAGCCGCCGCTCTGCCCGTCCTTCCGCATCGCAGCTAGGAGGGCTTTGGGGCAGCGGCTGTGGGCAGCATGAAAGCTCAGCGCTTACTTAGCTACATGTGCCATTAAGCACTCTTCTCGGCGCTTAGCGTGTATGCAGACTATTAAGACGTCCCGTATCGTTTTAATTCCAGCTCACTACTGACTATACAGAAAAATCCTCCAGCTCCGCACTCCTCACAGAAAGATGGCGACACCCCCAACTGCTCACCGCCCCACTCCGCCTGCCATTTCCCGGCCTGGCAGCCGCGCTCAGTCGCGAGCGTGCGCGCACTCCCACCTTTCTCGCGAGACTTGGGGGCGGCACTCGCGCCGTTTTTGAAGTTGGCGGCCGTTGCAGGGGGGTCTGGCTGCGCTCCGCCTGTGCTGTGCTGCGCCGTGCTCCGCGCGGGAAGGGCGAGCGTCCTGTTCGCAGCCATGTGTCCGGCGAAGAAACCGTTGCAGATACAAGAGGCGTTCCAGCTGGCCCAGAAACCCCACCAGAACCCCGCGAAGCTCGTTGTGGCTTTGAAGAGCGCCTACAGCCAGGTACCGGCCTGAGCGTCTGAGGGGAAAACTGTGGGACTGCTTCTGAAAGGTTATAATCTACTTTGGTTTGGTGCTTCTTTCAGTTACAAGATAAGGAAGACTTCCATGAGAAGTTCGTTCATTTCCTGAAGTATGTTATGATCGTCTACAAGCGGGAGCCAGCCGTGGAGCAGCTGGTCGATTTTGTGGCTAAGTTTGTGACTTCGTTTTATCAAACGGAGGAAGAGGAGGGTAGTGAGGAAGGAGAAGAAGACAATTCGCTTCTGAATTATGTGTTTAACTTTCTGCTTGAGGTACAGTAATACTTGCTGTTAAATCTTTAACTGTAAAGTGGAAGCTTTACTTATGGTACAGGCTGCCCAGAGAAGCTGTGTACACCTTGTCCTTTGAGGTACTAAGGCCGAGTTGGATGGCCTTAGGCAGCCTGGGCTGGTGGGTGGCAGCCCTGCCCGCGGCAGGGGCTTGGAATAGGCTTTAAGATCCCTTCCAACTCAAACCGTTCTGTGATTCTGTTTATGCACAGTAGGGAAAACTTTCTTGCATTATCTACAATCTGGAAGCTTAAAAGTGAAAGCAGGGCAAAGCTTTATGATTTGAAAAACTAAAACCAAAACAATGCGTACAAAAAGCACACAGAAATGAGCAGGTAGTCGTTGGTGGGCTGTGTTGGTGTTAGATGGATGGTTGGAGTAGATGATCACAGAGGGCTTTTCCAACCTTAATGATTTTATGATTCTTATGATTATGACAACCACAAAAACCCAAAGCAAAACAGATTTTAGAAGTTAGGTCTGTGAGGAAAATATAAATTGTTTTCTTATTTGGCTATCAAGCATGTCATTAAATGTTTCACTGTGGGTGCGTTTGTATACATGACATTAATTTATACTGCTTCATTGACAAGTAAAAATAATAAAATGCTTTTCACACATATGATTGGCATTTGTGTTATTAATTCCTGCTTGTTCCAGGAGTTTATGTATAAAAAAAAGACTGTCAATTCTGATAGTGTGAGACCACAAGTAAAATTAAATTCTTTTAAATTAATGTTTTGTCATGAAAAGTTATCAGTAATGCCAAGAGCACTAGCTAGTCATTATCCCTATTTTCTTTCTCTTTTAATGTTTTATGGGGACAGGAGGAAGCTAGCTCATGTCTTCTGATTAGTGGAGTAGTTTTCTTCCTTTCTGAGGGCATTGCTAATTGTGTACATTGTGCTGCTGATACAAATGATGAGCTATAAATATTTTTCAATTCTGTGAGTTTTTAGTCTTACTAAAGAATAGGAAGAGCTTCTGAGATATGAAAGTGTGTATTTTATCTTCTGTATGGAGTGCTAACTACTTACATATGCATATTGATGATCTTACAATGAAAATAAGAAAGAATACTTTTTTTTTCTCTCCCTTCCCACCCCGCTCCACTTCCCTGCAGTCTCACGATGCAAACAGCCATGCAGTTAGGTTTCGAACATGCCAGCTTGTTAATAAGATTTTGAGAAACATGCCAGAGAATGCTCAGATTGATGATGAATTATTCGATAAAATTAATGAAGCTATGCTGATTAGACTTAAAGATAAGTTTTCAAATGTGAGAATTCAAGCTGTCTTGGCCCTGTCAAGGCTTCAAGATCCTAAGGATGAAAACTGTCCTGTTGTTAATAGTAAGTAGCTCTTATTTTCTTTTTGTAAAAGGTTTGTTGACTTATGTTAGTTTGCTTTGAAACATTTTTTGAAGCTTTGAGTAACGCTTTCTTAGCAGGTGTTCTTCATGCAATTGTTAGAGCAGTGGTGGGGCTCGTAGTCAATGGAGCTTGTATAGGTAGGGCTGGTGTACGTTCGGGGGAAAGAACAGAACAGAACTTGTTGAATGAGAGACCCACTGGGAATTAAATGATTGATCACCCTGTTCTGTGAACTCAGTGCAGTTGTGGGATGGTGAGAAGGATAGTGTTGCAAACTGGGATGGAAGAAGGATACATGCTTGCTCTGTTCAGACCCTCCTAGGCTGCTTTTGTACAACTGAGTTGAATCTGTGCAAAAATGTTCAGAGGAGTAGAAATGGTAATACAAAGGCTGATTTTGTCCAAAATGACATCTGCCTTCTGTATCAGCGATGCACCTGGTTACTGGCACTGTTGACCTCTATGTGTTTTGAGCCCTTTTTTTTTTTCCTCTCCTGTGCAAATCTCACCTTGCTCATAAATCATAGCATCATAGGATGACCTGGGTTGAAAAGGACCACAATGACCATCTATCTACAGGGTCACCAACCACTAGACCAGGCTGCCCAGGCCACATCCAGCCTGGCCTTGCCCAGGCCACATCCAGCCT